AAGTGACATCGCTCAAAACGCCTCATTTGTCGCCCTCGCTGTGACATTGGAACCAACCACGACACCCTTTCTCGTTAGGAATTAGGACGAAAGACGTGCCTTCTCCTCTTCTATACAACTGCGATCCTCAGAAATTTACTTACGAATACTTAATATATGCACTGTATCTGGCTAAGGGTGGGTCGTAATTGCGGCTTCAGGCAGCGTTCAGACTTCGCGACGGCAGCGCTTCGGTCGCGCGTTCGACGCGATCGATGCGCATGCTTTCAACTGCATCGATCGCGTCGAGCGCGCGACCGAAGTGCTGCCGTCGCGAAGTCTGAACGCTGCCTTAGAGATGTGTGTATCAGCGGCAATCATACCTACTAAGGGAGTGATCCAGCATTTGCAGCTGAAGCCTTATGACAAGGAAATTGAAACCTGTGAAGTGGAATCTCTACATATAACATAGTAATAATAAAAATGGGAATAGTTTCCTGATACTGCCGCTATGCGCGCAACTATGTCCGCAGTTACGGTCCGTCTAGCCGTGGTAATCGAACAGCATTCAGGGTGCGATAAATAAACTATTGAATAAATGTGTACCTTTTCAATTTTTCCGCCGGCATGTCATAGATTTGAGGTTTTTCGTCACTTCGAAGTAGAATATGAGGAGGTACAGCACTACTTCGATCGATGAACTGAACAGAACGATTCTCATGGACGAGGTTTTTGCAGGGTGTCCATAAAAAAGTGAGAGATGAGAAATGAAAAGAAAGTTCAAGTCTACGGTACTGTACAACACACTGGCTATATTGGGTGAACAGTTGTTCAGTACGTGTGGTCCGCCTAACCAGTAAGCAAAAAGAAGTTGTGAACGGAAATCGTATAGATCGATTAAAAAAAGCATTGAACTGGGTGGTCGAATGATGAAATATACCTCAGACTGCGTTCTCAAGAAACTATCATCCTTATTCTTGGACTTCAGTTTCTCATCAACTGGGCTTCCTGTACGATGCGGAGCCACTTCAGGTTTCCTAAATTCAAAAATGTTTTTCCACTTATTCCCTTTGAAATGATTTTGGTGCAGCTCACTTCTCTTGCTCTTTCTCTACTGTCTTTGGAGAAATCGTGTAGCTTGTACGAGTTATTGCTGTGGTTTCCGTAAATGTTGGTTCGTCGTAAGTCTGAAAATGACATTATTGATTGGTTTCGCCAAGAAAGTTTGTGTCGTAAAGACGTGAGGTAGACGTGAGGAATGTGTTAGATGCCACAGTTTTAGGTACCCTCATCAGTAGCGATGAGAAAAACAGTCGAATACACTGGCGCATAGGGTGCAATAGTACGTCGGGTTATCGGGCTAGGGTAATTGCAATTTTGCACGAAGATCTTTGTTAAATTTTGCTCTTCCACATCATTTCCTGAGTCTCTTCGTCTTTAACATAGTCTAGCGCTGCTGGAGGAAATGATGCGAGCTAGGGGGATAAGGAGTTCCCTTCCGGGTAGAAGGAGGAAGCTCCGGGATAGGCGAACCACTCCACCCGTCCCGGAGCTCCTTGTTTCCTAGGCTCGGGCAAAATGATTTCTTGACCGTTTACTATGGGCGAAATGTCTCAATATATTCAATGAACGCCGAGAACAGAAGTGGAGGAAATTGTCGCACAGTCTTGCTCGCTTCGGGTAAGACGGGAAGGGGGCGTGTCAGCGAGGCTAGGTTAGGCGCGCCGCCAGCCTGTTCTCCATCAGCTTTGAAGCGGGTAAGCGATAACAATTGGTGGAAAACGACTGACACGAACCATATGCTAGTGTTAGCGCTTGCCAAAAGAAAAAAGAAACAGGCTGGCGTCGAGTCAAACCGGGCCCCTCTGACACGCCCCATCATCCGCAGCGAACAAGACGGTAAATGGAAACTACACCATGAATGGTGAGTTAGTGACAACAGGCGCCAACGTTGCACTCACGTCTCATGAACCACGTCAAGATACCCAACCCTTCTATTATATTCTCTTTTCAGGGTATAGATTAAATGGTACAATGAGCATGAGTACGCTATCGGCCGACTTTGTAAAGTTTTATAGGCCTAAAGACTCGTTCAAATGGCTCTGCGACTGTGAATGGATGCATGGCGCATAAACGGGAGAGCCTAACCTCCTCCCACTGCTTCATTTTCTATGGCCCTATTTTCCTGTCGAGTACCCCTTGGTACCACAATCAGAACAGATTACTTTCTCGACTGTGCCTCAAGCGCTCAAAGAAGATATGCATGACTCTTGTGACTATTTGGAACAGCAAACCTCCGCCCAAATGAGGTGATTATTTTGAAAATTTTCATAGCGAACGAAAGGCATCCCCCTCAACTTCCCTTTAATGAGATATTCACAGCCGTGACGATGCTGTATGGACTTTTAAAGGCATAAAGGGCTAATTATAACTTTTTGTAATTTATTGTAGCAGAGTGACTGCAGTAAGGAATGACAACTAGTCGTGGCCGACGATGACAACGACGATGACGAGGAGAACGACGACGATGACAGTCCGCTACGATGGCGATGGTGGTTGTTGCCAGCTAAGCGCTAATTGGGACACTAACTGGAATGTTACACTGAATGCGAGCGACGTAGCTCTATTGAGTCTTATCAAATGTGTACTCTGTTTGTTGTACGGTTAAACGACAACGATGAACTTTTGCAAATTCCCGTTCAACAAGTACTACATGTTCAAAGTAATAGTACAATGGAATAGTTACTCGTGTAGTGGGATGTGGCGCTATTACGAGACAGACGGTAGGAAGACCGAATCTTATCTGTGCTCAGGGTACAGCATCGTGATGTGTGAAATGGTGGTGCCAGTACGACCCCCCCCCCCCCCAGCTGCTAGCTACCAATTTCCCACATTTCGCAGTTTTTCACTTTTTCACTCAGAGATTTTCCTTCGAGAAAGGGGGGGGGTAAATAGTACAGATGAGACAGGAAGTATCACGCTAAAAGTCAACAACCGGGAAAGTTTTTCCCCAACGCGGCAAATTTCTGTCAAAGCCACATAGCCCTCTCCCCCAACAACGACGAAATACGACCCCCCTCCCCCCCATGGTTTCAAAGCTGTTATTGTTTGATATACTGCTGATTTAACGCCGCCCAGTACGCCCCGATTCGAAAGCTATCACACCATAATTCGAGTTTATGAGGCAAAAGTCGCGACCACGGACGGGATTTTCGAGCCCGATCCTTGGCTTACCGGGCAGTTGGCGTTCGCCTTATACGCTTGACCGAGGCAATTTTGACCCTCTGTGGTTTCACACAACGATGCTGTGTCTAGTCTGGCTTGCAAAACCACGCCCTAGGGGTTGGATGGCTTCACCGCATAGGTGAGTGCATATTCCAAAGTTAGCCTTCGACAACGGGGGACGAGGTTGCATGTTCATGAATATAAGTTTCAGGAGTCCACGTTCCTCTATGTAGCCACGCACTGAGCCCTACATCTAAGCGTCCGCGGTCACTAAAATACGGAATTGCCCCTCCCACTTGAAGACCTCGAAGAGGCCTACAGTAATGCGTCAACTTGGAGCAGTAGTTAATCTCCCCGGTCGATTCAGCACGCCCTTCGAACCACCCAGAAGCATGCGATATCACGCATGGGAGCTGACGAGGCTCATCCTTTCGCTCCAGGGGACCGTTAAAATTTGGGATCGGGGTTCTGAAGATACGTGATCTGAGACTAGTGCCCGATTGACATACCTAGGGCATCCACTTATCCCGTCAATCCGCGCGAAAAGCTTTCAGGCGTACCCTCAATGAGCGAAATGCCTTTTTTAGTGCCACCCCCAACCCTTACATTTGTATAACCATGCCGTGCAGCAGTCCGGTATTATAACTACTAGCAAGGATAAAAGCACCGACCCAAACTTGGGCGCAGTTCAGCTTTATGTGAACCTTCAATTAATCCTGGCAACGTTCTGCGCCATTTTGTGAACGTCTGCACACTTCCTTTCAAGAAGAACAGTATCGTCTATGTCATTGTGCAAGGCATGTATAGTTAGTGGTGCAGTAGAATGTGGCGTTGGGACAAGATGGGCGGTAGGGAGACCGAATCTCGTCCGAGCCAACTGAGCCTAAAGGTCTGCTGGGGTGCTGTGAAGCTATGAAGTTAGACGGAATTCAGTGCAGTAAGGTCCACAGAAACGTGTGTGAGTCTGGGGATTGAGATGTTGTGGCTGAATCTAAGCAAAAGTTCCGGCTCGCTGAACTAATCTGAGCGAAAAAGGATTTGAGAAAGAAAATTTTAACAATCAGTAGCTTCGCAGGAACGCAGAGGGGTTATAATCCTACCACATAAAAAGAAGAATGAGTGTTTAGCTTTCATTATAAATAATACGAATCAAAAATGCGCTTATCTACCGCAAAGTCGAAACGCGCAAAAATTGCTCTAAGGCAGAGAAGTAAAATCTCTTCAGTTTAACTAGAATCGCGCAATGGTAGGACTTATTCAGGCACAGATAATTAGGTAATCTGTTCAGCTAGATAGCGAACTATGAGGGCGGATACGAAGGCGCGGCACGATCTGGAACGGCCTGCTCCCGATCACTGAGACTCTACTGGGAGAAATCTTGTCTGGACACACACTGGAAGATTCATAAAGAGGAGCAAATCAATCAATAGTGCAGGTACTGCAGGAAGTAAGAGTAAAGACAAGGCGCAGACAACAAAAAAAAGAGACTGGCGGTTATGTTAGTGGTTCAACAATGTGTGTGCAGAAAGAATCGTCTGAATGGGAATCATGTCTGGCGGGAACTCAGGGGAAAAGGAGTGTACTAAAAAACTGCACGAAACTGCAATGCGAATAAGGAGGTTCCTTAAGCTGCGTTCATAGCTCTGGCGGACAGCGCCCCACTGCCCAGCCGATGCCATTAGTGTCCAGCTAGCGTGTTCCGGATGCGTCGGCAGCGTCAGGCAAAGGGATAGATATTGCATCTGGCGATGCAGCGGCGCCCCCACGCTGCAGCTATGGTTCCACCAGCACCCGGAAGTCAGAGAAGTACGGGGATAGTCAGGAGGGTAGCGAACAGCTGATTAGGCGTCGATCATATGCGGCGGGTATGCGCCGTAATGCAGCAACTGCTTAAATGACGGCAGCGTCCTGGCAATGTATGAGGGGTGAAGTGTACTGTCGGTGCTGGTGTTGCACACGTCGCTCTTTTCACGACGGCCTAAGTCGCCTTGTTTTTGCTATCGGCTCCTACTTCCCCATATTCGGTGTACTGGCGCTGGTTTGATGTGAAGCACTGGTGGATTCGCTGGTAGACTGGCTGACGCTAGACCTGGATATCGTGTACTTTCCTCCGTCCGGTGAGCGCCTGAACATTCGCATACGCTAGTCGGACGCTGGGTATACGCGTGCCGCAAAGTATGACATCAGATAACTTAAGTTGTCAGCATCCTCTCGCTCCCTTAAACTGATGTAGCGACTACTTTGCCGGTGACTGGAAGGCCGCACATGTCATAGTCCGGGTGGTGGGCTTGCTCGATCTAAAGAAGTGCACAGGTTACGCCGTCGGTTTATGACTATTAACTATGTACGCGAAGCTACTATTAACTATTACCGAACTATTACCTGTACCGTTGATGAGAATTCTCGCTTGATGCAGCAACCTTAGCCTTTAATGGATCTGGTTGAGCATGAGCAGGTGCTGGTGGAGGTTCATCACGCTTCCGATCGAAGCGCTCATAAACCGCAGAATATTCGGGTGATTCCGGTCTCTTAAGCGACAAAAGCGCTCTTATCGATTGCAATTTTCATTTCTCAAAACACTTGAGAGTACATTTACTTACTTGTTTGCTCTCGAACGATGATGGGCTCACCGCATTTCGGGGTTCTTTTTTATCCAGCGTACCACCGTACGATCGTGGCGTGGAGTACCTTGAGAAGGACTATACTGAAGGGCTTACGAAGCAGGCAGTACAAGTACTGTAAAAAATACCTATCCGGAGAATGACTCCTGTCGATTGTCACACTACCCGGCTTGTCCGTACTGGGCTACAGTGTATCCAACCGATGATGAAGCAATTCGATCCCGCTCGGCTTGTGCTCGCCGTCGTTCGCGTTCTTCTTCGGCTGCTATAGGATCCAGCTGCTCAACGCGACGTATTCGCTCACCAGTTGATGGTGATGGAGTGCTTCTAAATTACGCGGCTATTTAACACATTCAATACCGCATGACATACATGGTGTGTCATGCATTTTTCTCGCTGCACCGTTTCCCATGGTCTATTTGGCAGCTTGTTCATGCTCCAAAGTATCAGCACGTTTTTCAGGCCACAGTACACATATCTCATAGGAAAGTGAAAGAAACACATTAAATTACTGACTATCGATTTGAAAAGTAACGAAATGATGCGGATATACTCGCACAACGGCGTTCCGGAATATGCTAACTTTTAGATAACCCCATATCCCGAAGATATGGAAGGCGTGGCTACGCACCTCCCTCAAACGTCATGTATGCTACAATTTTTCATGAAACATTTCCATTCAAGACAACTATCATCCTGTCTTCTCCTGCTCAA